AAAAAAATAAATAACATTTATTAAATTTATAATATATATAATTTAATAAATATTATAATAAAAACATTAATAAAAAATAATTAAATTAACTTACGTTTAAAAAAATAAATAAAACGTAAAAAAATTAAAAATAATATTAAATTATTATAATAACGTATTATTATAATTAATTATTAATATTAATTTAAATAAAAAATTATAAATAAAAAAATATTAATTATATTAAAAATAAAATAATATAATATATATTAACGCGGTTTAATTTATTAAATAAATTTCATTTTAAACCGTTATAATTTTAACTTTAATTTATTATAAAAATATATAAATATATATATATATATTAACATATATTTAAATTAATATAAATATATATTAATATAAAATGAAAATTTTATTATATAATTAACTTTATAATTATTTAATCGTAAAAAAAAACAAAATAAATAATAATTATATATTAATAATATATAAATATTTTATTAATAATAAAAAACTTTATTATTAATATTAAAAAAAAATATTTATTATTATAAATATAAAAAAACATTATATTATTAATTAATTTTAAATAAAAATTTTTTTTTAAACATTTTTAATATATTAATTTTAATATTATTATTTTTTATTAATTATTACTTTATTTATTATTTTATTACACGTATATTTTTATTAATAATATACGTATTTATTAATTGTTAAATTTATAATTACGTTATAATAAAAAAAAAAAATTTTATTAATGTTAAAATGTAATTACGTAAAAATAATCACGTGGTAACACGTGATTATTTTTTACACAAAAAGCAATTTTTTTAAATAACATTTACACATATAATTTATCATTAATATAATAATAAACATTATAATAATTTTATTTATATTTTACTTTTTTATTAAATATATACCGCCATTTTACTTTATCATTTAACATTAATAATAAAGTTAAAAACTATTTAATAAATAAATTATTATTTACATTAAAACGCATTAATATTATTAATTTTATTTAATTTAAAAAATATAAAAATATTTAATTTAATTTTAATTAATAATACGAAAAAATTTTTTAAAATAAATTTAAAATATAATTAATTAAAAATTAATATAATTAAAAAAAATATAACGAAATAACCAAAAAAAAATTCGCATTATTAGTTTAAGTTTTATTAAAATAATTCTAGTTTAAGTTTATTGAGATAACGCCAAAACGGGCAAACGGGCAAAACCCGCTTCCACAAGATTCAGGTTTAAAGTCACTTGAGATAAAGTATCAGTTGCCACGTTAGATTTTATATCCTGGCAGCCTTTAAGTTACCAAAACAAATTTTCGAGATGTCAAAAGTGGTAGCTTTCGATACATTCCATCCGGAAGGTTTAAAATATATGCGCAAAGTATTCCATAATGCCATTGAAGCCGAAAAATCCTCATTTCTCATGGCCTGATCATGCCGTCGGCATATTCTTTGCGGAGAGCAGGGTTACGGCAGACTTGATACAACAAAAAGCTTGAATTTATCATGGGACATGGCGCTGGGACATGGCGCTAGGTACGACAATATCGAACAGAGGCATGCAAGAAGAGGGGGATTATTTTATGCAACCTTCGAGGGATCAGTGTATATGAGGTTATCCCCAAACATACACATTGAAGTTTCTTACTCCTCTTAGGCTATGAGCGTCGCGGAAGTTTCTTTAGCTCTCGTAAGTGTCTGTTCAAAGAATATTATACAATTATCCAGGCAGATGAGGAGAGGGGAAAGGCCAAATAAGAAATTCAAAAACCCCTATTCAGCCACGTTACTTACAGGGAATACTTTTGGAATCGTTGGTGGCGGAAAGATCGGCCGAATTTGCGGCGAAAAGGTAGTAAATTCATTCATCGACATGTCGAACCCCTATTGACTTCTCGGTAGTATCGGGGTCTTCGATGGAAATATAATAATGTAAAGCGTCTGACCCTTTCCGTGGTACATCACTCATACTTTTAGGTATGACCCTTACATTCTACGCGACAGGTCGACCCCTAGGACTCTATACGCCGCGATAGAGCTTCATCGGTTGAAGAGATGGCCCCGCTCGTCAATGTACTATCCCTCCATGTCCCCCTTCTTCCGACGACGAGGAACATGATTACGCTTCCGTTATTAAAAACGATTGGTCGTACTGCAATACTCACCAACGTTGCACACGGCGGTGTGGTTAACGAAGAGGACCTGCGGACAGCGCTAAGGGAGAATGTAATCGCATTTGCGGGGTGGACGCCTAGGTAAACGAACCACCCACTAGGGAGGTTTATGGTGGTATTTTGGATTTACAGAATCTAGTCATGAGTCCACATGTAGGTGGCTCTCCAGCAGAAGTGCAAACTGCCACTTGCATAAGTATGGTTGATCATATGAAGGAGTTGATCGGTAGAAGGTCTCCTAGGGATAGAGTAGCACAGTAGACGAGCTGGCCCTTTGGTTATGATAACGAGTTACAAACCAATGTTAATATGAACTATCTTACGCCCTTGAAAGTTCTGACACAACGCCCTAAGATCGAGCAATGTTCAATTCTTTCCCATACCATGCCTGCAAGGTCCTTACATCCGTATTCAACACTATCAGATCAAACATTTCCTTCGCCTTTTTCGCTGCCTCTCCATCCGTTGACAGTATACCAACTTTCTTCCCATATCTCTTCGCACTCGCGACAACATTACTGATGGCCTGTAGTAAGGCTGTATCCGCAAAATTCGCAGGCGTGTATCCGAGGAGGGAGAGGGAAAGATCATTTGGCCCGATGAACAAGAGATCTTTGCGTGTCTATTAATATCCGTATAAATAGGGGCCCCTTTTATCACTTACCAATGCCTTCTACCTGAGCAATTTCGTCAACATTTTCCACGGCCGAAGCTGTCTCAATCTGGATCATCGTAATAGTATTTTGATTAGCCTTCGCAATAAATTCCGAAGGCGTCTTCAACCCGTGCTCCAGGCAAGCAAAAGACGAACCATGACCCCTTATGCCAACTGGAGGAAACTTGGCTAGTTTTACAACTAACTCAGCCTCCTTAGCCGTGTTGACCATAGGTACCATGATACCGCTACCCATGATCGTAAGCTCATTTCGTTATATAATTACACGAAACATTCAAGGATTACTCACTGAGCACCAGTCTCCAGAGCTCTCTTCATAAATGTCCCATCTAGACTTGGTATGCGGACGACGGGTGAGACGCCAGACCCGGAGACAGCAGCAACCATGTCGTGCATATCAGAATCGTCAATATTACCTGTCTGATGTCAGCTCAGATATCCCTTTTAATATTAATAACTTATTATGAGTTCGTCCTAGTCACAGACCATGCTCGCAATCGATTATAACCGCCTATAAAAGGTTATTAGCCGGCCACTACGTGATAGGATTCTACTTGCATCCACGCCTGTATGAGCGATTATCTGTGCTGTTCTCACTCCTTTAAGAGTTATAAATGTTGCAATAGCCACATCTTCTCGTTCGAGTATGTTTCTTAGCCGAAGGTTGGGATTAGAAGAAACTTTCATGATGGCGGTTGAGCTAGTTCAATTCCAATATGTAATTGAACAAGACTGTCTTCTCGATATCGTGGTAGAAACTAATCCTAGGTGTAACGAGGGCTGTATGAGCTTAGAACGTATATTTAATTTACTAATAATTCTCAAAGGTTTCAAGGTCCTTGGTTCCTCCCTTCTTCAAAGGGGAGGACTCAAGACCTATTTGTAAACAGTCTATGGTACGTGTCTTGGGACCTAACCGGTATATTAAAACAGATGTTGATTGTCTTGCGTTCTACCTGCATATCTTCGTGATAGGTCTCATCCAATGATTCTGATAATAGTTATCTTAACCGGCTGACTGGCGTTTGGCCATCTCGTATTGCGGTCAACACCTTTTTGGCAGTGTTGTCCGTGTGAGACCGGGCGTGTGTGACTCTTGCGTAGACGTAGAATCCCCGTATTCTACTGTTATGGGGGATCTTGATCGTAGGATCCACCTCTTTCATCAGGAGTCATATCACAATAGACACGTCCCTTTAATAGTTTAAGTAACTAGCATACTGAAATGTATGACTAGAGCTGTGACATTAGGACAGACTATACTGGTTTCAGTTCTATCAATGCCCAGTTCGCGCTCGTCGATCAGGCGGAGTGGCATTTTTAGCCGATCATTTTTACAATCTTTACCACGGCCTCACGTCCAACCAACCGTGTCCGGCATCCATTCATCCACTTGCTACCAAGGTAATTGCTTTATTAAGTACCCGTCGACTATACGCTGTTCCATTCTCCTCCTAGGATTTGAATGTAGACCACAGCTAGTACTAATCAACTTATCAACTTACAGGTCAAGGAACTAAAGATAGAAAATTATGACTTGCTAATTAATTCCAAGAGGAACCTTAATATCTCGAAGGGTTGGGATAGTTAAATAACCGTACTAGAGGCGGTAGTAAATGCGGCGCAAGTCTTTGCAGGTGGTCGTGGTGGTGGTCGAGGAATATCCGTAACAGGAAGCAACCCCCGAGGCTGCACAATAGCCCGAGCTTATCCCGGCTAGACCCCAAGTTCGATTCCTCAACCTCGCACCTTTTTTCCTTTAACGCATTACTTTGCAGGCAAAGATTTCCAGCTGCAGCACGTGATCGACCTATATAAATCAACCTATAACCTTCGTAAACTCGGGCAATTATAGCACACCGCAAAGCTGCCCTCATGTCCTATTTAGGCGAAAAAATGAATTTCCTATTTAAGCCATGGAAAGAATTCGACACAATAGGAGGGCACCCCTGTGGGATGCCACAATAGCCCGAATTTATTGCTATTACTCTTTGAATACCTTTATTTTCAGCGCTTTTGTCTTGGCATTTAAGAAGAAGATTCGGCACCCTCGACTTAGCACCTAAGAGAAGGGCTCGGCATCCAGGCCAGGAGAAGGGCTCGGCACCCAGGAAAAGGACTCGGCACCTAAGAGAAAGGCTCGGCACTTAGGCCAGGAAAAGGGCTTAATACCCCAAAGAAGGACTTGGCACCTAAAAGAAAGGCTCGGCACCTAAAAGAAAGGCTCGGCACCTAAAAGAAAGGCTCGGCATTTTTAACACCCTCGATTTGGCATATTTAACTTGATTTGGCACTTTCGATTCGATCCGGCAATAAAAAAAAAAATTTTTGAAAAAAAGATAGAAATGGAGATTTAGTGAGATCTATTTACATTTAAAGAATGTATCCAATAAAAATTTCTAAAAGGCCGCGTATGGACAAACTTCTTATTGCGAAAAAGAGAGCCTATGACAATAACCCTCATAAATTCGGGCATCGGGATCGAATTGCTTACTGCCAGCTCTATGTCCCTTTCTCGATAATGAACCAGCAAATCAAGTCCCTCTTGCCACTCCCTCTTAGACATGATAGTCAATAAATCGTTTATAATTAGCTAGACCGCCATCTTGAGAATCGACGTTCCATCCGCGCGCGAAAACTAGGGATGATGTAAGCTCAGCACTCGAGTTCCCGGTTACAAACCAACCGAGAGTCAAAGCGCTATGTTGAAATGTCAGACGAGACCTTGACGAAATGAATCTATAGGGTTAACGTTTATGCTTTATGGCATCGCGCAATCAAGTAGGGCTTGATGACACGACGCTGGATATAATCCTTATTGCAGTCGCGGATCTACTATTCTACTCTTTTACCTTGGTCGAGTCTTATGAATTTGCTCCGCCGCAGGTATGTTGGCTTTTACCTGGCATCTATTGACCTCATTCTCTCAAGATAGGTATTTGATAAGAACCGTTTTGGAACTTATCATAGCAGGTGCTATACCATTGATGTTAGGTACCTTATTGGGCAATTTCAACAAAATGAAATGATTTGCGATGACGTGAAGATTAGATATCAATTGATTGATGATGGAAGAGTACATCTTGTAGGTACTTCTTACGCTGACCGGGATGTACCTAAGGAGGTAGTATCCCCGCTATTTCGTTGAATTATTCTTGGCTGCAGATTTCGCGTCGTCGTTTAACACGCGCTATTCACAAGCTTTCATGAGATAAAGTCGTGGCAATTCATCGTGATTTATCTATACGGCTTCGGAGAGGAACGCAATCACAATCTTGCCTGCTCCCCTGCCGAGACTTGATCGGTGGTTTCATCCGCAACTGCTTGCGCAAACGCTGCTTGAACGTCATGTTCGTGAATCCAACTGGGGTCTACGCGGTTCTTTATCCGGGTCCTTAGTTGCTCGTCTGTCTCCAGCTCCCTAGCTTGGGAGTATCGCGCCACCTTGTTCTTATTATTCTGATGGACAACACTCATTACGCGATCTGTGTGTGGTTTTCGGGTCTTCTCGTAGATACGTAGGGCTTTGAGTATTTCCGCGTCGTTGGGCTTTCTAGTCGCGTTCTCGGGAAACACGTATAAGATCGACGATACAAACGCCCAAGCATCATCGAGGGCGAGACTACCGCCTGCGGCAAATGCCCCTCCGTGGGCGTGAGCCGCGTCGCCGGCCAGGGTAACATTTCCGCCACCCAATACCCACGTTTCCAGGGGGTGTGCTGCCGCGTTTGGATAAATCCTAGTGCTGGGCACCGCGTCGACAATCTGTCGCACAAGCGGTGACCAGTCCTTGTAAAAGTCCCTCAATGTGTCCATGTCGCCATCCGAGTTCCAGGTCGAGTCCCTGTAAGGGGCATCTGGGGCGTCGGGGTCGGCCTGATACGATCCAACCACGGTGAAAAGGTCCCTTCCGAGCTTTGAGATGAAGAATGTCCTATCCGGTCCCCAGAAGTGGTTCGCCTCGTCCGGAAGATCCTTGATGTGGGCGACATGAGAATAGGGAAATACAGACCGGAAAGCCACCCAACCAGTCCAAGCTGTGCTGGAGGTGGGGACGAAGAAAGTTCTAACATGCGAATGAATTCCATCCGCGCCTAAAATTATATCGGCCGTAGCGGTCGTCCCGTCCGCGAACGTGATTACCAACTTTCGAATAGCTCGGTCGAAAGTAACGGATTCGAAAGCCTTAGAGAAGTGAATCCTAGACGGGTCGACGTGTTTAGCAAGCGCTTCCTGGAGATGTGCCCGATAGAAACGGGCGGTCAAGTGACGGTACTCGACTTCACCAGCGTGGGAATCAGTTGATATTATCTCATTAGTCTTCCAATGACTACACTCCATTAGCCACCAATTCGAAAAGACCAGGGCGGACGAGCTCACCGGTAGATCATCGGATACGTTGACTTATTACGGAACGCAATTTCGTCATCCAGAGCATCGTCGACGCCTAATCGTTCCAGAGTTCTCATTCCATTAGGTCCGAGAGCGATAGACGCGCCTATCTCTCTAAGTTCTGGAGCTTTTTCGTATACTTGCACATCAATGGCGGGGTGATGCTTTAGCCCGATGGCTGCACCAAGACCAGCGATGCCGGCGCCGATGATTGCGATCTGAAGTTTTAATTCGTCTGCCATGATCTAACAATACACGTCGAGAAACAGAATTATTATAGTTTTCCGTACATTGTCGTACAGCCGGGGCCAGCTTCTTAACCTTTGACCATCGGGACGGGGGATCGACTATACGGATCCGAGATGGCGCAAGAGAGGACTGGTATTGCGAAGCGATATCTTATCAATCAGCGACCGCATTCCCCTCATGGCCTCGCCGCTTCGGGGAACCTCCGATAACTATCCATGCAAGCGTGTCGCGATTCTTGCAGCAGACTTGGCTAGCGTATATTAACCATTGCCATAAGACCTCGATCAAGCACTCCCCGTTAAAACAAGGATATATTCGTCATTTGCGTGGGGGTTGACGAGTGCTACGCAGTTGAAGTTATATCTTAACAAGAAGTTTTGATTTATATTTATCTAGGTAAGTTTCACCTAGACATGTGCCACCTAGTCGCCGTTTGGTATTCATTTTGTTGCTTGAGCCGCATACCATGACGTCCAAGACTGTCGAGCAGACATCCGCAGCTGAGGTAGTTTTCGAGACCCCGAAATTGCCCGACAAGTACGCCGACGAAAGTTACAAGCTCTTCTCGCAAGTCAAGGTTGAGCCTCCCACTGCTGAGGAAGCTGAGCGAATCCGTAAGAAGAGCGTCCGATGGATATTATCGTTCCTCTGCGTCGGGTATCACCTGATGTACGTGGACAAGCAGACGGTAAGAATTATGGTTTCCTATGTTGGCATGCAAGTTTACGAATCTAACATTACCTGCCTCCCCATTAGCTCGGAAGTTCGTCTATCCTGGGAATTCTTGAGGATGCGGATCTAAATTCGAGCCAGTACAACTGGTTGTCATCAATCTTCTATTTTGGCTACCTGCTAGCAGAATGGCCTCAAAACTGGGCGCTGCAACGATTCCCAGTTGCAAAGTGGCTAGCCGGGAATCTTGTCGTCTGGTAAGCTAACTCTGAACCACACCGATTAACGTCTTGCTAATCCTAATAGGGGTTCCATCTTGCTGCTACATGTTCCATGTAATAGTTTCGCGTCTCTCTTCGTCGTTCGTTTCTTTCTTGGGCTCGCGGAGGCGTGTATTGTGCCTGCTTTCTTATTAACGCTATCGATGTTCTTCACATACGACGAGCAAGCAGTTCTGATGCCCATAATGTGGGCTGCGGGAAATTCTAGCCCTATAACTTCAGGATTGCTGTCGTACGGAGTTTTATGGGTAGACACGGGTAGTTTTTCATCTTGGAAGTGGTTTATGGGTAGGCCTCTCGCCGTCACCTTGCGAATTATCTAACATATTTCCTACAGTCATCACAGGAACTTTAACTGTTATATACGGCGTTTTCGTCTGGTTTTTCTTCCCAGACAACCCGATGTCCGCTCACTTCCTGACCCTCGAAGAAAGAGCACAAGCTATCCTCCGCATTGCTTCGAACCATTCGGGGATCGAGCAGAAGCGTTTCAAACGCCACCAGCTGGTTGAAGCGCTGAAGGACCCCAAGACCTGGCTCTTCTTCCTCCATGCGTGGTCCCAAGAAATGGCCAACGGTTTAACTAACCAGTACTCGCTTATCATCAAATCATTTGGCTTCACCACGCTGCAGACCACGTTGTTGGGTTGCATTACCGGTCTTACTTCGCTGGTGTCCCTTGGAGCTGCCGCCCTAATATTGTCAAAGACGCGCAACAGTCGAGCGTGGCTTTCTGCTGCTGCGTATGTACCACCAATTATATCCAGTATACTTCTTATCACTCTTCCTTGGAGCAACCGTTGGGGTCTTCTGTCGGCAATATGGATTAGATCTACAGGAGGTATTCCCTACAGCGTGGTTATGATCTGGGCAGCCAACTGCTCTGCGGGACATACGAAGAAGACCGCCGTCATCGCTCTGTATCATGTCGGGTACGGTTTGGGTAATATTCTCTCGCCTCAGCTGTTCCAAGAACAATACAAGCCTAGATATATTGTGACTTGGTGGGTTATTCTATGGGTCGCGTGCGTGCTTCCGACGTTTATCGTCCTTTATCTTCGATGGTATTTAGTTAAGGAGAACAAAAGGAGAGACTTGCTAGATAAACGCGGGGCTATTAGAGAAGTCGGAGTCATTGAGCATATTGACGAGAGCGGCGAGCGGCGGGAAGAAATAGTCGATGCGAGACAGTTGGATCTGACTGATAGGGAAAATCTTGCATTGTCAGTTGTCCCAGGCCCCCTTTATTCGGCATATACTAATAAGCACGCAGTCGATACGTCCTCTAATGTGGAAATATTCATAGAGTATTCGCTATTTGGTAGAATACATATCGTATACACTACCTACCTCTCGGATATCACCTACCTATCGTTAGATAATTCTCCGCAGTCAGCGATAGGTGTCTTGATCTTGCAACCCCGTCTGGCCACGTGTCACGCCTTAAATTTTTTTTATTTCCTACTTGATGAAACCGTACGAGGTTTCCACAACTTTTTTTCATTATGGGCAAAAAGAATCGCCATGAAAATGCGATGGATATCTAGTAACTAAAGCCTAGCTACTAAGTGCTCTCTTTTATTTGACACTCTGTCTCTAACTTCCATTCGCTTCTTTTCACCTTGCTCCGAATCAGATCTGTATACGAGAACTTGAAGTGAAACTCATTAGCAGCCATAACTGCCATATGAGCCCAGCCCATTTTAGATCCTACACCAAACCACGGCACCGCCAATTCTTGCTTCACGGCCTGGGCATTGACAGACGCCTGAAGCCGGCGACGAAGCGTACATTCGTGCTCTAGTCAGGATTATCTTCGAAAAAATACAAGATCGCAGCGCCGATCTCCCGGAGCATCCCAGTCGCATTGATCTGTATAGCCTCCCATGCCAGTTGACACGCCTATGGAGAAAGGTAATCCGATGTGTAGAGCACCAAAAACCTGAGAACGAAACACGACACGGGACGGGTAGCAGTACCTTTTTCATCTCTCAGAGCCATAGCCTGTTATAACCGCATGATACTACCGAAACTTGGGACGAGAACGACGGCATCTTAATCTGGGTCGAGTTTAATAAGTGCAAATGATGACAGAAAGATCGATGCTATCCAGATCCGGGATTTTGGCGGATTAATAGGGAGGTTTTAGGTGAAACGCTCCAAGAGCCTAGATTAGGAATTGGGCGGTTCCACGTCAACTACGTGTTGGGCGGGCCAACGAAGGGGGAGTTGGAGCGATGCAGGGGTCGAACCGCGGAGGAGATTATACAGGATATAGCGTCTTAGATGAACTTGTGACAGCACTCTTCCCAACCATCGTAGCGGCGATTCTATCATCACGGACAGCATATACTAGTGCTTCCAATACCAACTATCGTTGAGGGTGTATAACGTACTTAATATTTTATGGTTTCTTGTAAAGACTCTAGTATGTTGTCCTGCTAGAGTCACACCATAAGTCAGAGCACTGTTATCTTAGTAAACTCAGACTAGAATTCGTTGAATTGGCGGGCTGCGCCCGCCACAGGCGCCACGCAACGCTTGGCCTGTGTCATTGTATCTGTGGGTTTAAGGCTTAAAAAGGTAACAAAAAGTGCGAGTTTTAACGAATTTTAGTTTAAGATAATTTAAGCGTTTTTAACTACGTTAAAATAAGTTTTTTTAAAAATTAAACTTTATATTTATAATAATTTAATATTTAATAATAACGTATAAAATAATTTTTATTTTTATGATTTAAAGTTAATATTATATTTATTTTATTTTTTTATTTTTTTATATATTTATACGGTATTACGTTATAATATTGTAAGTTTTAACGTTTAAAAATACGTAATTATATGTTAAAATAATATTTATATTTATATATATATTTATAATTATGTTAAAAATACATTTGTTTTTAATTAAAAATTAATAATTTAATTATTAAAGTTTTTTTATTATTTTATATATTTATATAATATTATGTTATAATATTATAAGTTTTAACGTGGTATATTATTAAAAACGTTATAATTAATGTTATAATTAAAGTTATAAAATTACGATTAATATTATAATTAATTTTAACATTTTAAAAAGTTTTAAAACGCGTATATTTATTAATAATAAAGTTAATAAATGTTTTAAATTAATTAAAACTTATTTTAAATGCGTTAATATTATTGTTTTTAATGTTATTTTTAATGTTATTTTTAATGTTATTTTTAATGTTAAATAATTTAATGTAATAAAAATCGTTTAAATTACTTTAAACCATAAATTTAAAATTATTTTTAAAGTTATATTAAAGTTATAATTGGTTAAAAAGTTTTATAATTAAAAAAAATATAATTATATAAATAATTTTAAATTTATAATTTAAATTTATTAAAATAAAAATACCGTTATTAAAATTATTTATATAAAAGTTATTTTAAATTTTTAAACTTTTAAAATAAAAACTTTAACTTTAAATTAATAATATTTAATTAAATTAAATTTAATTAATTTATAATTTATTATATTTTAATAATAATATAATTTTTTTTTATTAATTTAATTAATAAAACATTATTTTTAAAATTAACATTAAAATTATTAATTATAATTATATTATTTAATTTTTAAATTTTTTAAATTTTTTTTTATAATAACTTTAATATTTATAAACGTTAAATTTAAGTTTAATAATATTTTACGTTATTTTTATAATTTTACATTTATTAATATTTTTTTTAAATAATTAACGTAAATTTTTATTATTATTAATTTTACGGTAATGTTATTAAATATTTTATTAAATTTTTTAAATAAAAGTTTTATTATAAATTTTTTAAACGTTAAATTAATTTTAATTAATTTATTTATTAAAATATTAAAGTTTTATAAATTTAAAAGCGTTTTTAAATGCGTAAAAGCCATTTTTTTAATAAAATTAATTATTTTAAAATTAAAAATTATTAAATAATTAATACATATAATTAAGTGATAATTAAAATAATATTAATGTAATTATTAATGATTTTATTATGTTTTATTAAAATCGTAAAAACGCGTAAAATACAAGTAATTACATAAAAGTAAAATTTTTAAATTATTTAATAAAATTAATTAATTTAATAAAAATTAAGTTTAAAATTATTTATTTTAAATGATTTTAAACTTAAATTTGTTTTATAAACGGGTTACGTTTATTTACGTTTATTAACGTTATAAACGCCACGTAACGTATAACTTGTGTAATTATATTTATAAGTTATAAATAAAACGTTTTATAAATTTAAATTTAAAATTACTTTAAATTTATAAAAAATATTTAATATATGTTAAAATATTAGTCATGTGGCATGCCACGTGACTAAGGTTGTGCCAACACACACCGCTTACGCAAAATTTACACACATGTAAATAAATATTTTTTCCATTTAATAAATCTTTTACTTTATTTAATAAACTTAAACCAATTAAACAATACAATTTAATTACCTTTTTTTTATTACGTAATACATACAAAACCTTGTCATTTTAACAGTATAAAATTATTAAAAAAAAATAAAAAATAACGTTTTTAACAATTTAATAAACTATAATAACGTATAAAAAAGTTTTTTTTTTAATAATTTAATATTATTATTAATTTTTTTTTAACTTTTTTTTATATTTATACGACGTTACGTTATTATATATTAATTTTTAACGTTAAAAAAATATTTAATAAAAAAATGGTAAAAAATTAATATAATTAACATAATTAATAACATAATTAATAAATTAATTAATAATATAATATTACGTATAAAATATTTTTTATTTTAATTTTAATTTAATAATATTATTATTTAAACCTTTTTTATATATTTGTATAATTTTATATTTTTAAATATTATGTTTTAACGCGTGTTATAACGCATGTTATAACCGATGCGTTATAATTAATGCGTTATAATTAATATAACCGATATAACCGATATTACAATTAATGTTATAATTAATTTTAATTTAAAATATATATGTTTAATCGATAAATTTAATAATAAAATTAATAAAAACGCGTTAATATTATAATAATTTTAATAATAATTTTAATAATTTTTTATGCCATAAATTTAATTTTTAAAAAAGTAAGTTTTAATAAAACTTTAAATTAAAAATTTTATATTGTTTTAAAAAATTGTTCCGGGGTTATAATTAATTAAAAAATGGTGTGGTTAAAAAGGTATAACTTTTTAAATTAATTTAAATTTTTAATTTAAAATCACTTAAAATAAAAAATTATTAAAATAACGTTAAAAGTTTTTTAAAATATAAACCGGTAATTTAATAATTTATTATAATTTTTTAATTAATTAATATATTATTTTTAATTAATTATTTTTTTTAAATTATTTAATAAATTATAATAAAACTTTTTTATTAAAATTATTATTATAATATAATTAATATATTTTAATAAATTTACGATAATAATTTTATTTTATAAATAAAAATACACTTACGTTAATAATTTATAAAATATGTAATAAATGTATTAAAATAAAAATAATGTAAATTATATTTATAAAATTTTTTTAAATTTTTTTTAATATTATATAATTATTATAACCGTTTAAAATTAATAATTTTTATTATTATTAATTTAACAATTTTGTTTTTTTAAAAAGATTTTATAAAATTATTAAAATATAATATTATTATTAATTTAATTATTAAAAAACGTAATAAATTATTAATTTTTAAATTTAACATTTTTATTATTAAAAAACCATTATTATTATACGTTTTTATTTATATATATAATAAAAAAATTTAAAAATCGGTTATTATTATTAATATATTTAATTAATAACGTTTAAATTTTATTATTATAATTTTAAATAATAATATATTTTGTATAAATTTTTTCGATAATTATTTCGTTATTTTTAACTTTTTTTATTATTTTTATTTTATTAATGTTATATATATGATTAAAGAAATATTAATATTATTAATTATAACGTTATTAATGCATTTATAATTAATTAAATAAATTTTAACCGTTTTTATATTAAAATAATAAATTATAAATTATTTATATTAATATATATTAAAATTAACAAATTAATAATTATAAATTAATATAAAAATAATGCGTAATTAATATAATTTAATGTAATAATTTATTTAATTAATTTATTTTTTTAATATTTAAATAAGTTTTAATAATTTTTTAAATATTTTTTTTTATATATTACGGTTTAATATTTAATTTATAAAATAATATTATAAAATAAAATATTTTTTAAACGTTTATTATAAAAATACGTTTTTAAAACCATTATTTATTATTATAATATAACGTAATTAAATTAAAAAAATAAACATTTTAAAATTATTAAAAAATAAAAAATGAAATAATAAATTTTATTTTTTAATTGATTTAAAATTGGTTTAATTATATAATAATTTATATGTAAACTTTATTGCGAACGCGTTGCGTTTTTAAAGTGGCCCTTATACGGGTGGCCCCAGTAACAGTGTTTTAATTTAGATTTACAAGTTAAATTTAACACTTAACGGATGTATTCGAATCTAACCTATCGAGATTTCTCCCATCACTTTTCAAGGGGATCTACAGCCTTAAAGATCATAGTCAAACACCTATCATCATCTGCTCAGACTTTATCAACGTTCAGAGTTTCAGCTTATCGTATAAGCTTCAGCGATAAATAAATACACATGTTGAATATATCTGTCTATACCGGTAACTAGTATCCACTTAGGCTGTTCTTTTCTTCGTGGAGAACTCTTAGAATCTGTTATGGGTTCCTAACAACTATTCGTATAAGTTGTGATCAATATACATAAATATTACCGTAACCATGTATCCAACAGCACAAGGCCTATTACTACTAGCATGATATTAATCACCCTCTTGAGATGTTATGGGTTCAACCATCCATTTAATTTCTTTAGACAGGTCCAGGCACGCCACCACTAGCCGACCAGATATTTCCGCTCGTGTATGTCTCCAAGGGGTCGGCCAGATTGACGTATATCGGCGCCAACTCACCCGGCTGCTCTATACGACCATATGGATTTGATGCGGCAACCTGGGCGATTGCCTCCGCCGTAAAGCCAGCACTGGCCAAGAAAGGGGTATAGATAAGGGCTGGAGCAACACCGTTTACCCCAATACCCCGAGGGGCGAGCTGCACTGAGAGGCTGCGGATCATATAACTAATAGCAGCCTTGCTTGAGCCATAGTCTACTGCGTTGCTGTCTGGTGAGTTGACGATATCAGAAGTGGTGAGGATTATACTACCACCTCGGGGTAGTAGAGGCACGGCCGCACGGGTTAGGAAGAAGTTCGCGAAGACGTTGGTGCGGTAGATCCGCTCCAGTTGTTCGGTGGACTGGTTCGTGATAGGTTGCCATTTCGAGCCTGCGAGGATCCCAGAGTATCTAGCGGCCAGTTAGTCAAACCGATATGCTCTAGGGTTAGCTCATTAGCCTACGCCGCATTTTGAACCATGATATCAATCCCTCCAAGACGATTCGCCGCCTCGTGGACCAACTCCGTGCAGAAAGTCTCGTTGAGTAAGTCTCCAGGAATGCGTTCGAATGATAATCCTTCGCCGCTCAGGAAATCAGCAAGGTCGTCCACGTCAGGCTCTTCCTCTGGGAGATAGTTGATAGCCACATTAGCTCCCTCGCGGAGAAATGCGATGACGACTGATCTTCCAACTCCCGAGTCTCCACCCGTTATTAAAATTTTGAGACCTTGAAGGCGGCCCGTTCCTCTGTAGCTGTCCTCGCCGCAGTCTGGGCGTACATCGAAGCTGGTCTGGAGAATAGGGAAGCCTTGGGCTGGCGGTGATAAATTCATATCTTTGAAGTGATTAACAGGGTCTATCAGTTCAGCATTTTGCTCCGTATGTTATATATTAGCCATCTCTGCGAGTCTATCGTCTTGCGAAAAGATATTCATACTCTGGGCTAATCCTGTGCTTAACAGGCCCATAAACGGGGGCAATGAGGAAAGGAAGCGCATTCTGGTGAAGGTAAGACCTATGTTAACCCGGTATTTATAGACTGTGAATAACAAGAAAGTAGGAGCAGAGATAGATGCTCAACTTCTGCCTTTAACTCTATGTCGATGCTTTAGTCTGAGGATGTCCAAGCATGGTCGCAGTCAGAGACTTATTTAACCATAAATCAGGTAGGTAGCAGGCTACGTTATCACTCGTCACGCCCCGGAGAGAACTATTGCGTTCGCCATGAAAGACGCGAATGGTAGTTCCCCCTTTTTTTCGATCCGACCCTGTCGGTCACGATGTCACCTACATCTAGACTCCTTATTCGGATCGTGGCGCCATCCTGCGTACTTCATCACGTACGATTCAAATCGTGGCGGCTTTCTGCAATTTTTTTACTTCATTATTCCGACAGTTATAACTTTCCTTGGTTGTCAATCCCCTAACTGGTTATATAGCCGTTACAGTTTCCTCAAGGTATATAATTCATGTATTATCCAGGTTTCGTCTATACGGTAGCGATATATATGTATTATTGTACATGGTACACGACTCTTGATTCCTTTCAAGGCCCTTGGTAATGTAATTCTCCACTCAACAACGACAACCCAGCATTCAATAGAGACAGAGTAAACCCGTATACTACTCAGGAATTGCATAGATGATTGGTTTAAACTAATCAAACCCAAGGAGATTGTTTTTGAGGTTACTTGGCGCTTAAGCGAATCGAGCATCTCGTACGGCCTTAAAGTCCAATGGTGTCGGGGATGAGAAAAAACTTGATAATCCCGATTACATAGGATGGATGTAAGTCACAAATAGTTAATTCCGAACCTAGGTTGGATTGCAAATCTTAGGTGGTATTGTGCCATCAGGAACCCAAGAGTACCCAAGTTAGATAGTTTTGTCAATGTCATGGTATCTTTGTCCATTTTTAACAGCCACGATTTCATGATGGATTCATGTTTAGTCGGTCTGAATACATTCAAGAGAATTTTTAGATCTTAACTATTTTTCTCTTGGTTTTTTTTAATTAAGTCCACTATACCGGTGTCTTTACCTAAAGCCGTGCAAAAGCGTTATACTATGATTTAAAGCCTTTAGGGTTATACGATATGTACAAGGCTTATACTTTGTACGCATGTCTAATACGAGATATGTGTATCCGTTACTCTCTTTAACAATAAATATACTATATAAAATAAAATCAAGCATAATTTTTTTAATCTTCAATCTTAATGCTCTTTTGTCAACTACAATGTAACTAATGGCACTCTTTGATCACCAATAGCAGTTAAACGACTAAGAATCTCAGGTTAAAGTAGTTTGCTGCAGTTATTATTGTATTGAGTTAATATAACATGTCCTTTGCTTCGAGTTAACCCAATCTCCACACATAGGTACCCCTTCGTTACCGTTAACTAATTCTCCAATTCGTTACTATCATTTCATAAATCCAGCCTTTCCATCCCCGTTCGAATCTGTCATGGGATTCAACTTGTTCAAAAGGCTCGGTTGCTCCTTCGCGGTTCCCGTAGTTCTGGAAGCGTTGGAGTGGCGTTCTGTTTCCAGATTACCCGATGTCACTCTAGCAGTATCGCGATATTCCCTCTGAGCAGAAGACTGGTTGGACATGCCTTGATTTACACCTGCGCCTGCGCCTATAGTAGAAGCCCGACCAGTCTTTGACCCGCCAGATACTTGGTGGTCTCGGCCTCCATCTAGGGGGTCAAAATCCCCATGAAAAACGCCATCCGGGGGGTTGTTGAGACCAGTACCCTTCTCGTGCATGGTCTCGAGAGTCCCTCGAATAGTCTTTGGCTCGCCTTCGAAAGCATCAAAGCGCTCCTTTTCCCCAGCTAACGCGCCTCCGTGCTGTCGGTATTCTTCTGCGCTGACCGGAGGCAAGGAGGTTGTAGAGTGGTGCTGAGCAGGATTGTGGTGAGTCTCGTGAATTGGCACCGTAGTATGGACTACGCTAGGCTGAATTGTTTCTTTGTGAAGCACAGGCTGTACTGTCTCGTGGACATGACTTTTAAGGTGTTAGCTTTACACTACAAATTGACTGCTCGGTTAAGAGAACCTACTGGTGAACATGCTCTCCCTGGACTGTAGGGGCATGACTTTGGGTGTGTTTGGTACCATGGACGACTTGTTCGTCTCTGAACTTTTCACTCTCGGCGGCCAACGCCCTCTTTGTGGTGTCGTGGTCCCTGTGGTCATAGTCTCGATGTTGGACCGCCCCGATTTTGTGCTGGTGCTGCTCGGGGAGGATTTCTTGATCATGAACTGGCTGTACAGTGCGGTGATAATGATCTTGGTGGATTTCCTTATTCACAGCGGTGTTGACCTCCTCGTGTTCCCTTGGCTTGATGGTCTCCTTCTTAACGGCTGGCTCAACCGATTCATGTACGGTAGTATCATGGTGACCAGAATTGCCGATGAAGTCACGGATTACTTCCTTAGTCTTGTTCATATCGAATAGGATTATGAGAGGTGTTGAACAGAGATGGAAGATGGTAGACAGAAGGAATTTGTTGGATGAAGAAGGATTAAACGATGTACCATTGAAAAGAAAGGGTTTTATATAATGAGATAGATAAATGATCGACGTAATGGACAACAACCTAGACTCCAGAATCGCCGTCAACATTCGTCCTTAGTTGGGAGTTACCGAATTAGGCCATTATCTACTGGAGTATCCAATCACGTCAATGCGGCTAAATCGGACGGGGTGAGTGGATTCGGCGAAGTGGAGGAATGTACGTCAAGGATCCAATACTACACGCAGGCTATGCCGCAATATAATTATGACAGGAGGAAGTAAATGATATCGTAGCTTGAACGGTTGCTAATCTGTTGACAATAATGACGTCTTGCATTCTAAGCATATCCGGATGCAGTGCTATCTTTTCTTCAGCGAGTAACTATCTTCGCGACAGGTTTACTTAAGTCGAGACGGCTACGTGCTAGTGCTAAGTGAGAGTCAAATTCCTTGGTTCTCGCGAGTTAGAGTCTCGGAAATGCTTCGATTGACTCGGCCATGTCGTAATCGATCTTAGCCTGAGCCATCCTGAACTCCAGACCCTGATCTTCTTTACCTACCTAAAGGTAAATCAATGCGCTTGTCACATAGCCTTTATTAGATGCGGCTTTGCGGTGACCTTTGAGGAGAGCTTGAAGACCTACGTGCCGAGTTTAAAGAATTTCCGTCTAACATTCCTACGCCAGCCAGCTGTCATTCCTAAATTGTAGTAAGATGATATGACGCCTCATAGACCACTACTTACATGGTGACGTTTAAACTTACGAATTACCCATTTGTCATGACGGATTTAGAGATGATGTTATGATCCACGCATTCCTTCTAGCCTACCAAACACAAGCTTTCATAGATATTTCACAAATCTTTAATACCAACTTACAGCAGCGCTTATATTAGCTCTAAGAAAATAACTGACTTTTCTTTTTGGTGGGTTAAGCCAATCTTAAGCTAACTAATATTGCCCAAGGAGGTACCGGGGCTTTTATTTCGTCACTTCTACTCACGAATCTATTCCTCGTACTATGCGTCGACTTAAAGCTCTGCTTAGGACTCTGCTTAGGAGACGAAGTTACGATGAGGAAAGTCCGGTCCCCCCCGAGAGGAATACGGCGGGGCTGTCGGACACCCGACGAAGCCTCCGATCTTATGGGGGCCAATCGACTATAAAAGATCGACATATCACCGGTCTTAATTTGTCAAGGTGTAATGAGAGCCCGGTGGAACGTGAAACCAACAAACACAAGAGTTCCAATTCTCAGCACTTAACAAATACAAATACAAGTAGCCCCGTCTCAGTACAACCAAACTCGCGAACGTCGATTGAGAAAATCCCGGAGCGTCAGAGAAATGTGTTGGTAAAGAATCCTAGGAAAGATATGTCCAGGAACGATATGTCTGGGCACTTTTACTCCGATAAACTGGCCAGCACGGAAGAGGGACCAAAAAAATCGTCAACAGAAATACAACACAGTAAAGACGGACAGTTAGCTCAATCTACAAGGGAGCCGGACCGTCGCGTAGAGATACTTAACAAGGAGGATAACGCTACTCGACCAGGAGAACGTGGTGGTGCGGAGAGTGAGAAGACCGCCATAGACCTCAGGGATACCATAGATACCGACGAGACTATCACTTATGCTCCGGGTGAGTCCAGCCCGCTCTAATAACTCTGGAAAATCTAGTTAGCTAAACATATCCGCTAGCGGTTACGCACGAAACCATTCGCCCACAGGTGCACGAGATTCTGGAAGAACGGATATACCGCGAGATCCACAATCATAACGTATACCATCGAATCCAACCTATTTACGAGGTTGAGATCCTTCCTGCCCGCCATTTTGTCCCCGGACCCGGCGGTGGTCTAGTTGAGGTGCCCGAGGATTCTATCCCAGAGTGTACCGGTGCGAATCAAGAATGGCACGTGAGCAAGAGACCGCCTCGCCCTGCGTCGTCACCTACCCTACGCCAGCCAGCATCTATAGATGAAAATAACGCGGTTTGCGAGCCTATTGAGAAGGCCGCTGAAAATGGGGGCGATCTCGAGCCTACGAAGACCCAAACAGCCATCGACAACCAGGAATTCAAAGACGTGTACTTTGATAGTTGGCAATCCAGTGCTGCTCGCATATTCTAGGAAGCCATTTGGAAATTTCGGTATGATATTAGCGAGTCTATGAGAGACAATTCTTTTCATTTCCTCTGCGCGGACCCCGGTCATAAACACTCGAAAGAGACTTGTAGTTCAAGTCTCTCATGTTCCCCTCACTTGGTACACATTTAGGGTTCTGCCGATTTCGTCGGTCCCGGATGATATCGAACTAGCTGCATTATTACTTTCTTACGTTACTGTTGCTGTCAGCCCATTGCGGCAACAGCATGCGCCGTGATTCCCGACCTAGGTAAGACATCGGAATCCATGACAACTCAAACCCTAGTCGAATAGCAAACCGTAATCTTCTTTCGACCACGAGATCTGATCGCTAACCTTGTCTGCCATCAGTATTCGCCCGCCGTGTAGACAATTGAAATCGACCAACCATGGTACGTCGCCACCGTCGAAACCATCAACCTCTCAGCGACGACAACGTACCTACTTACCTACATGATCAGATATGCAAGGCCGGCGGACAGGTCCGAATGGAGTTTCGGGAATCAGTCCAGACGCGCAGAACAGACGTCCGAAATAATACGAGTTACGGACTGCCCAATCTCGAATCGCCAAATTGGAACTTGCATACGTGATTGTTCGGGAAGGATTCAAAAGGATCTAGAGCGTTGAAGATCACCCGTGCCGTCACCCTTGCTTGACTGCAGAGCTAGCGTCTATTTGGAGCAAGTATACTAGGATATGTATTGCATGGGAAGCTTGTTATTCTGTAAGACCTCTAGGATATTGGAGTTGGAAATTATAAATTACGAATGGCCTCGAATGCGGTCTTATTACACGTCTTGTGTTACTGCATGAGTGCTACGGTTTGAGATGGAACGATATATGTGTGCTGAGGCTTGCGAATCGTATATTCGACTTTCTGGCTTGCCGTCTTGCCGCCTACTGTCTCAACCTCAAAGAGGATCTAAGGAGCGAGATGATTTTTCTTCAGATAGCGTGTTTATTAAAACATCACAGCACTTTGTCTACGTACAGATGCTATCGTCGGCAATGCTCAGCGTTGCGAATATAATCTGTCGGTATAGATTACGTATCCAACTCAACCGTAACGGATTGTAAGCCGAGTGGTAAGCACGGATAGGGGTCTGACAATTGAGACTAGCTACGACAAAGGATTTGGGGGCTGTTGAATTGCCGTGGAGGCTCCGAAGTAACTTGTCTTTAATCGTAAGAGCGAGTGATTGTCGAGTACCTACGACTGGATTTCATATTGATTTATAAACCTGGTCTCGATCTGATTAGGTTGATGGGAATGTCGTCGATGCAGTACAAAAAGCCGTGGCACGGTCCCATAGTTACTGTGCCATTAGTATTACACACCGTCGCGCCCCCCAACTCCCGGTAGTCCTTGGTTACCGGGCTGAACCCGATAGCTTGTGCGACTTGGCTACGATATTAAATATTGTCGTCGTTCGCCAAGTCAGCTTACTCATTCTGGTGCAGCCTGTTCGAATGCCCGATAAGCCACTTGTGATATGGAGAAGTCTGTAATTGATGCTCACCGTACTTCGATTCTCAGGCCGTCTTATTTGTAATATATTTCGACAAAATTTTATTCATCGAACCTATGGCTGACCTTTTTGATATGTTCAAATAAACCACGACTTACGTGTAACGGTTGTATAAGGATAATCTTGAAGGTCATGTATCACGGGCGGAAGTATTTTGGCCGGTATTACCCCAACCAAGCGCAGCGACGTGGGCAGTACTGGTCAAGATTTCCCACAAATCTGAATCTGACATCTGACTGTGTAGCAACGATTGTGCCTGATAGATCTTGCTTTAGTATTCGGCTTCGAAATTTGTCTCGTTGAGGGGGAGGGGGTGTGAGCGTTAGCATATCTTGCCCACCCTATGACGGCCGCAGTTATATGCAGGCTCGTCCTTGCCTAACGTTCGCCTCTTGCATACTGCGCAAGCATACGTCCTGCAGGCTACGAGTTCTGGACTATTCCGAAGTCCGTCTCATTTGGTTTAGCTATGCATGTCTTGCATGTATTCGTCTCAACCGAGAGTAGGTGAGGGGGCTCGGTCCAGACTCAAAGTTAGCTTCCTCAAGGGGATCAGAGTCGACCCATGAGCTAGAGAGAGAACTTTAGATCCCGTGACGTCGACCGATTCCGAGCGGTTGGAAGAGTCGTCGCTTTCCAGTGCTACGGATCGAGGAGATTTGGTGTAACATGATGAGAAATACATTTCTACGAAAGACCCACAGACTCCGGTAGTCATATTCTATACCGGGACAAGAGAAGAGATAGATAAGAAATAATTCATTAGGCTGTCGCTTCATTTACTGACCTTTTCTCAGCCGTCAAGTCCTTACATCTCACGGATACGCTTAATTCGACTATATCCTCATAGGTATCTGTCCTGTTCTGGATTTTCGTAGCCGGTACTACGCTACTCTGACCATCAGAGCTTATTATCGTATATCGTACCCCCTATGTGTTGTCGACTTTTATCGCTCAGGCTAGCGTCTATCCCAAGATACTGGGTTCATTATTATTTGCCAGTGTCGATTTGTTGGTGGCAACTCTATCTTCTGTTCTTGGTTCGCTGCGATCATCAATACGCCGGTTCCTAGTGTACGAAGTTGAAACTTGTTAAGGACTGCTATTTCATGGCCCATTCATTTAGCGTCCTAACTAATGCGGCGGGTAACCTGATAAGCCTAGGCGAAGTCACGTTACGTTTATGTAGTAAAATTAAAGTCTAGTTGCGGCTCCTACTTAAGACTCTCCGCGCTTCGCTTAAAAGTTAAGGTGTGGCATGCGGAAGAAACCATCACGGCTAACCTCTAGGCTCACTCATATTCGGATCAACTCCACATTCCAACTACTGTGTAAATATTCCGGTCGCAGAAGATATGAATATCCGCTCTTCCAGCTGGTGTTGACCGAACGCGGACAGGAAGTGTCTCAGAATCGGTCCAGCCCGGAAGGTTAAGGTTGGAAGTAGATAATTACAAACTGTGTATGTAGTTATCATATTAACTGTCGGGGTCTGGAGAAGCTACGTAGTGATGAGCCCGCTATTTGCCGGTAACCTTTTGTCTTTTGAACTAGTTTAACCTTATAATAATTTCCGCCGATGACGTCTCGGAATGCCTATCGTCATCTGACAGGAATCGTATGAATCCTAGTGTTGGTGTTCATGGAATAGAATTCGCTTTGTTGTTTTTAAAGTCTAGTGACTGTGTAATATATGCAAAACAGCGAAGAAAAAAGACTCAAAGAAAACTCGAAGCTTCGTCAATGTTCTAGAGGCCGAACTATTTCCAAATATGTGAGAACCGGTCTTGGAACGGGTTACCCAGCGTAGGATAACTCGTTGCGAGGCATGGAGGCATGTCGGAGGCACATGCGTAAAAGGTCGACTAGGCTCGACTGGGTATTTCGATTGTTCGATTCTTCACTGGTTGGCGTAAGGATTGGCGGGACTAACATAGTATCCCGGACCGAAAAGCATGGGGCGGACGTGCGGACTATACACTATGTATGTAGCCTTGATAGCGTCTAATAATCAATGACCGACGTGCTTATAGGGCAACGATAGTCGTTTGCAGTACCAAGGGGAAACGTCGTTCCTCGATTTTAGTCATTTTTTAGGATTGAGCGATTTCTTCACAAGTGCTACATTGGAATTCTAGAAAAATCACGGAATAATTGAATAGGAGTTGTTTGCATCATAAAACAACAGACAATGACGAGGGGACGCTATCATGTCTACAAGGATTAGAATCCTAGCACGAAAAAAGACAAAAAGCTTGACTTGACAGCTCGAGTAGGTAATTCTAATAGTTCTAACGAAGTCGGTTCGAGTTGGTGGGCCATTCGGTGAGGTCACGGTCACGCCAAGATCTCTCGACTTCGTCGTCGAACTAGGTAACTCTGCTAACTCTAGCTCGCGATTCCGCGCGTGCCAAGGTCACGATCCATGTTGCGGCGGCGACTTTTCAAAGAGAAACGGGAAAGCCGCCGCGCCGGCAGAGGAGTGACTAATTCGCAAGCGTAGTGTATATACGCAGAAGCACCGATGTGGCGTTTGCCTAGACTTACTAGACTTAAATACGGTTAGGAATCAAGCTAGCGCAAGGACCAGGAAAGAAAGACTAGCCCCTGAATCCTCGCCATTCGCAGCAGGCTAGACAATTTATGCCTGTTCGTGATGACGTATATGGCAATGGTTGACGGGCACTAAGTTGTAAAGAAGCTTAGCGCTGCTATTCCGAGGCTTGTCTTTTCGCCGCAAATTTTTTTTTAATCGTCCATATCGTTGTCGTTCTTATTGGCGTCTTGAAAAAGCGTGATTCGTGCTTTTTTGTCCATTGGTTTTTAAGGACAGGTGACGGTGTGGATTCTCGTGACTTCAGCTCCGCCGGTCCTCACCTCGGCCCACACCTAGCCCCAGGACTACCATAGTACTGTGTCAGGAAATGTTGTCGAACAGGCCTAACCCCACGTAATAAGTCGGCAGTTTGCTGTTGGGTAGCAAACGTGTCGTTTCCATGTACGCAACTAGAAGAAGTCTCTCGCGTTCGAATTGGTTACCGAAATATAGTAGCGAGGTCCAATGGCGCCCTCCTTTTCGCGGGGGGTCGTGTTGCCATGTATGCCCTTTACATAGGCACGCAAGTCAAGACGGGATCGCGGAATTCTGCGGTGTTTTTTCGTGGAGTCGTGTGCAACCGGTGCAACCCAACCCATCTGACCTTTTTTATTATGGGCTCTCGTGGGATTTTATGGGCTTTGATGGATTTTAATGGGCCTATGCGCGGTAGTCGACAGGCCAGACAGGCCAGACCAGGCAGGCCGAAGCTAGGTACCGTGGACAGGGCGGTAATCGACGAAACAAGGGTATAAGGGATCGTGTGCTTTAAGCTACCCACCGATGAATTCATCTCTAACGTAGGCTGCGTAGCCAGGTAGCAGCTAGGTAGCAGCAGGTAAATAGGCGAGAAGTAATCCGTACGTTAGGGTATCAAGCGAGAAGCGGTGATGAGACTCCCCGTACGGCTCCCCAAAGTTTCCCCCCAAGGACTCCCCATATTGAGTACTCCGCTCCTATGACATCAGATGGTAATCTCGTTGGTGAGGCTTATGGCTGACTCCGTCATTCTCACTTTGTTTGCGAGTTCCTATTGTCTAGTCTCGGTCATCTGCGATTTCGAGTTTCTTTGTGCCCGCTTCGGTAAAGCTGTATGCGTAAATGCGTACATTTAAAAAATGCGTGATGGAGGGTAAGATTAATAGTAAGAAGGTACATGATACTTGCGAAGGAAATACCTTAAGAGGGAAAGATACATCGATTATATGGGACGTACATAATTCGGAATAGGATACCTCATACATTATTATGTACATTATGTAGGAGGTACACGTGCAGCTGATTCTTCTGTGTACTATGTACCAAACTTGCAGTTTTTTTTTTGGCTTCTTGTCCCTGTGTCCCCCATTTTCCTTCCCCATTCCCCCCATTTTTCCCCAACTGCTTTTCCACAAAAAGAACCAAACAATCAAGGGGGGAAATGAATAAAACATGAATTATTTCCCGCATTCCCCAGAGAAATGGATGTCAAAAATCACGAGAGGCGTGTGCCTCGGGCTGCATAGACATGGGGTCGTCTGACATGAATCCTACATCCGGTTGACCCCAAGGGGGAGCCCCGGATTTGCCAGCTCTCCTCATCCAACGTATCCAATCCAACATTCCCAATCTAACATATCCAACGTACCTTACCAACGTAATGGACATCTCGTCTTGTCGGATTTGTCCCGATTTCCCTCGGTTGAAAGCAAGCCACCGGCCTGCCAGACGAAGGAAACATCGAGCAGCCCAACCTGCAGACCCTGCAGCCGAATGCTGTCGTCATACCTATGAACGCGGGTCGAAGGGTTAAAGTCACTCTCGAGCTGCCTATTTTCTTTGCTAGAAGCCCAATTCCAAATTTCCCCTTCCACCCGATTGCCCGCCGCGAATTGTATGCGAGTTCCTCCATTTCGACCAATTCGCTGCTTTCCAACTATCTTATCCCTGACCTGATTCGTAGCGTAGTCCTGGTAGCATCGTCTACGGGAGAGGAACGTGCAGGGACCAGTAGTTCCAGCTCTAAATGCGGTAGTCGATGAAGTAGCGCCGACGACCTCCTTTTTTACTATTTTTGTTATGTACCTATTCCTTTATGTTTACAAACTACAACATAGCAAGATAGACGACCCCGAGATACGTCCACTGTCATCGGCTAGATACATGTACCTTACTTACCTTACTTACGTGTATATTATCTATATTTACTACGTGCATGTACCGTGATACATCAACTACATCATGTACGTACGTGTAGATGATAGAGTCAGGTATACATTTTCCAAGTATTCATTACCTATTACCCATGTCTCCACATTTCTAACGTACATCAGCATCCGCAAGTGTGGACTGACCGACTACAAGGAAGTAATAAGTCAGGTAGCAGGTATGATACAAGCAAAGAAGCTGACTGCTACTGCCTCATTGTTACTGGATTGGCCTCCGAGATCCTTGATGGCTTCCCACTTTTTGTTTGCGGTTTCCGTCGCTCTCTCTACCTCCATGTCAGGTCCTAGTTCTATCAGTCTCGCCTTCTCTAAGCCATTAGTCGCTTAGTCTCTTTTTAGGTTGTATACTTATACCTTATACTTCATACCTCATACGTATCTTGGCTATTTGTTATTGCCCTTTAATAAAAGCCACGCCCGCGCCTATGCCCATGCCCATGCAGTCTCCTCGTGTATATATACTGGAGACTATCCCCAGACCGGCGTGCGCGTTATTCGAAAGTCTCTGTTTCTCTTCAGCCTTTTGTCTCGGGGCCAAACTCTGCCGCTCAAGCCACCCACATCATACCTCCTCTCCTCCATACCATACATCTCCCTGATCTATATTTGTTTATTATATCCCTCCTCTCTTCCCTCCCTTCCCGCCGGGTCTGGGTGGTCCCGGTAGAGTGTTTCTCATTGCGGGGACACACCCTCTAGCTCAGTGATTCAACGTCTTACTCTTCCGTTAAAGACCCGTCTGCTGCAGCGTGTCTCTGCCCGTCAAGCAGCCATGGAGGGCGCCTCGAAAGAATGGCCCGCCACGTTCGGGCCTAACAACGAGCGTCCGACCTACAGCTCTGAGGAGACTGTTGGTCACGTCAACGGTGGTCGCACGGTTGTGGGCCCGACCGTCGACCAGACCCTCGCCGAAAAGGTTGCCGAGAAGGAGAAGGTTAAGACGGAAACCGGAAAGCGAGAATTAAAGGAAGAGGACTGCGAGAGTGAACTCGGCTTTGCCTTCTCTTGGTGGAAGAAGTGGTGGATTCTCACCGTCATCTTCCTCGTCCAGACTTCGATGAACTTTAACACTTCTCTATACTCGAACGGCCTCGAAGGAATCTCGGAAGAATTCAACGTTAGCAAGCAAGCCGCCCGTCTTGGTGCAGCCATCTTCCTTATCACCTACGCTTTTGGCTGTGAGTTATGGGCTCCTTGGTCTGAAGAGTTCGGCCGGAAACCTATCCTACAGGCTTCTATGTTTTTCGTCAATATTTTCACCCTGCCGGTCGCTCTAGCTCCCAACTTTGGCTGCCTGCTAGCCGGGAGAGCCCTCGGAGGTCTTTCTACCGCTGGAGGAAGTGTGACACTCGGTATGGTGGCCGATATGTTCGAAAGCGACAGACAACAATATGCCGTGGCTTATATGTAAGTTTTCCATCCGTTTGATCTGTGGAATATTAGATAGCGTTCGTCTTAGAACCTCTAATTCAATATGGCGGGCCGATATAAATGATATGCATACTGACTTCGATTCGTTCATAGTGTCTTCTCTTCCGTCGGCGGATCTATTCTCGGACCGATCGTAGGTGGTTTCGTAGAGACCCTTCCCCCGGACCAGGCGTGGCGGTGGTGTACCTGGATCCAGCTGATCTTCGGCGGGTCTGTGCAACTATTGCATCTTTTCACGGTACCCGAGACACGCACGACAATCATGCTGAACAAGATTGCCAAGAAGCGTCGCGAGAGTGGCGAGGATCCCAACGTTTACGGCCCCGATGAGATAGAATCTTTCTGGAGTCGATTCACGCTGAAGGAACTCATTTACACCTGGCTCCGCCCCTTCCGCATGTTCTTAACTGAGCCTATAGTGCTGACGCTGTCGCTACTCTCTGGTTTCTCGGACGCCCTCATCTTCATGCAGATCCAGTCATTCGCTCTAGTTTATCAGCGCTGGGACTTTAACTCTTGGCAGATCGGTCTCGCCTTTGTCCCTATTGGTCTCGGTTATGTATTCGGTTGGCTTCTTTTCCTGCCGGCTTTTAAGCGGAATCAGAGGCGTCGCGAAAAACATCCCGAAGACGAGCATGCCCAGTACGAGTCCCGTCTTTCTCTCCTGCTCTGGCTCGTTCCATGCTTGCCTATCGGTCTCATCATCTTCGCCTGGACGAGCGGTGGCCCGCCGCTACACTGGATCGGCTCTATGTTCGGCACGTGCATAATTGGCATTGCCAACTACGCCATCTACATGGCTACAATTGACTACATGATTTGCGCGTACGGACCTTACTCTGCCTCGGCTACTGGTGGTAACGGCTGGGCGCGTGACTTCTTGGCTGGTGTCCTTACCCTCCCGGCGACTCCCTTCTATACCAACATTGGTGCCGAGAAGGGTCTGAACCTGCAGTACGCGTCAACAATCCTCTTCTGTATCGCATTCGTTTTGGTTATTGCCGTATACGTCATCTACTGGAAGGGTCCGACGCTGCGTAAGCGCTCGCCTTTTGCTCAGAGCTTGGCTCAAGGCGCTGCCCAATTCGGCGGCCACGCTCTCAACCACGTCCACTCCCATCGCCCGTCTATAGCGGGAGGTGACACACGACCGCAGACGTCGACAACCCACTCTCGACCCACAACAGCACCAAACGCACCGACCCTAGAAGTCATGCAAAAGCGACCTGGTGACCGCATGTCGGCATCGCGACACAATTCTTACTACTCGAGCGCACAGGCTGCAAGCCGACGTCAGAGCCGACAGGCCAGCCGCAACCCTAGCAGACGTAACAGTACCGACCATCATCGGAAGTCCGAGGATAGCGAGGAGGAAGGAATTTCTCACCACCATCTCCACCACCGACTCCAGAACCTCAACACCATCGCTTCGTTACCGACGCAACCAACGGAGCCCCGGCCATAGGGCAAAATCGACTAAGATTACCATATTCCACCAACTCATGATGATATGGAAACCGCTTAGAAGAAGATACTACTACAACGCGTCGGGGTGATTGGGCTGTATATGTACATATAACACACTAACATAAAACATATACAGTAGTATGAAGGGCGGGACGGCGATGGAGAGACACTACAATGTGTCTTTAGCAGAGAGTCAATCGTAGTGGATGGGCTCTTCTGTCTTTATATTACCCCAAGGCACCGGAGTTTCTTCTCATGGTCTGCCGGGACTGAAACGTCGGGATGGCATTCCATTGGGCGTTTGTGTGAGGTTTTTCTTTCTTCACTGTTCCAAGGAGTGCTCGTCTGCTGGAGTCTATTTGGCTTCCGGTTCTGATTGGTAGAACAGGGCGTTGAACAGGAGGGTTTCCATATCTACTACTACATTGATGAATGAAAGAGCCCATTTATTTATTAAATGAAATTTGATTGCCTATGTGTGGTCTTTTATCGTTTCGTACTTGCCGACTTTGTATGCGTGCTATGTGCACACGCGCACGACACGTAAGTGACTTGTGATTATTACTACCGGCCGAGTCCTACATCTGCGACGCAACGTTGTCCAGGTTCCACTCGGAGTCCGATACTGATATTCAAAACTGCTTCCCTGAGTTGCTTGCAGAGGCATAAATAAAAACTATATAGCTTGCCCGTGTGTTTTGTCCACTTTCTTCTTCCCGTCTTCTGAATCCTACTTACTCAACCCTCTTCTAAGACATCGGGATACCTGATAATGGCGCATGTTACCTACCTGCCTACTTTAGATGGAAGAGATGGATGGAGCATAGATCTGCAGGAGGTAAAATTTCTGTTCATCGAGATCCATATCGGGTGTTACTGAACCTCCAATTTTAACAATACCTTAGGTATACTACCAGGTTAGACATGGCTGTATCCGTATCCCGTATCCCGCATCCCGCATCCTGTATAATAAGTAATGCCTACATCGGTACGATAATAGCAATGGTTACAACAGGCAATTTCACAAAAAGGGGGTCCATGCAAAATTAATGTGACAGTGTATATCTATTACCATCAACTCATACGCGTAAGTTCTTCTAGTCTTATAATTTTACGTTTTATATGGCCGTAAAAGCAGCATTCAAAGCCTCGCGCTGGCTCTCCAGTTTGATACCTTAGACGAAGTGCCGCCGAAATTGTGAAGCCGTTCCCCCATAAGGTACGCCTCGTCCCGGATCCGAACCTGCCAACCTTCGAATACGCGTAGCATGCGCCGCATCAAAACGAGCCCTGTCCAGAAGAGTGCAGTAGATGGGTAGGCGAGGCGGAATATTAAGACTCGCATTTCCTGAGTCACTTCCGTATTGATATCTAGGATGTGGTGAAGGGCTACCCACGCCATAATCGGAGGCGTCGCGATCATGGCCAACGATGCTACGACGCCGGGAATGACGAACGCCCGTGTCAAGACACCAATATCGGGCTCTAGCCAGCCGCGACGCAGAACGGCGCGTACGGCATGCGCCGGCCTGCCACCGTACAGCGTCACAGCCCGGGAGCCGAGTTTGAGGTATAGGATACCTAAAGTCCAAGCTTGAATAACCCGGATAGTGTGACCCTCTCGCAAGCCCTCGAGCCGCCTCGTAGTGTTTGTTCCGGCTGGATACATGTATGTATGCAGCGGCATGAGTAGGTAGAGCTCTACTAGCAGCGTTATAAGGAGGGGAAACACAATAAGTAGGACTGTATAAGTATATAACAGCCGGGACGTGCGAGTCGCGAATTGGATAGCGCGCTGGATTGTCTGACGGTCGAGCATCGAATCTAGCACAGATGATGTTAAAATTCTTAGTCTGTTGAGCATTGACCGTATGTGAAAGACGAAGTAGCCCAGTGAGCCGAGAATGTAGACTCCAATGCTGAACGCGTAGATATCGTTAGTCCGTATGTGAGAAGGTATAAGAACCTTAAACATGCGCCGACCAAACACGAGGGGTACAATCGTGAAGCCGACTCCAGTAACAGCCGCGAAAATCCATATGGATAGGATGAACAGGAAGATACGACCGCGAAAGTAGGGAGGGACATAAACAAATTGGTAATGAGTTCCCGAGTAGAGGTCTGTATCCGGGCGATCTGGCTTGCCGTCTTCCCTCCTATCTTCTTCTGATACGTCAAGGAAAACCGATTGGCCCTTTGGAATTTTAACCTGATCAGACGCTGGCGATCTCACAAAGCGGCCGTCGGGGATGAGTTGTCCCGAGTTGACAAGCTTCCCCTTCTTATCGTTGTGAATACCCATCTCCTCGGCGGGTATTTTCGAAGAAGGTTTCGCCTTACCTCCCTTGAACGTGTCTTGCCACGTTTTCGGAACCACTTCAGTTTCGTCATTGACTTCGAGGAAGATTCGACACCACCAGGGAAGTTTTCGATAAGGCGAGCTTTCGGGCAGTACTAACGTACCCTCCTCATCTATGCGGCGCTCGCCGAAGAGGAACCATGTCAGCCGCAGGGCTCTGGCGCACTTTCGGAACCACCAGGTATACATGGCGTGAAGCCCGTCGCTCGGCCTGAAGAACTTGACGGCGAGAGGCATTAGGAAGTTATAAAAGAGCAGGTCGATAGGGAATTCAAGGACTGGCTCGTTAGAAGAGTAATGGATCGGAAGGACATTAGGCAAAGTTAGGGATAAGCCCCACACGACACCTCCGAGACAAACCACGACTAACGCTCCATAAACGAAAGCCGAGAAGAGTATCTTGCGGAGCTGGGTAGTGACATTGCGCTCGAGAACGTCGCGCACCGGATGAAACTCCGGATCGTCTGGATCGCGGATAAAGTCTGGTTCTAATTAGCAAAACTATCTAGATGGCTAGTAGCTCGAATCAAGGGTTTCTTACATAGAACGCCTTTTCGCATGATCTTACGGCACATAGAAACGAAGAGAGCGAAATGAAACATGTACCCCGTGCCGACGAACCAGTGGACGAAAATGGAAGTGAGCGGATAATTATAGGTAAATAAAAGACGAGATCTGATGCTTGTGCCTTCGAAGAGGGGAAGTAACGCGAAGTCTAACAGCAATCCGCAGTATAATGGGAATATCAGCATTTCTATACTGATGATCAAGATCACCTTCATGACGCCGCTGGCCTGATTTAGGAGGTCGATCATAGATGCTTCCCATTCTTGAGCGGCTTGCCCTGTAGAAAACGGCATTCCTCTGGCGAGATAGAACCCGGCTATGACTGACAGAGAGACATATCCAGCAAGAATAGCCCATGTCCTGTCGTTCGCGTCCCAATAAGCAAGAACGGGATTTGCAGACGATGACGGTTCAGAAAGACTAAGATTTAACATCCATGACCCTGGCTGCGTGGCGATGGTGGGGAGAGCTTTCAGGAATTGGAATGTTGCAGGCACCAGGATGGAGATTATAGACTTGGCCGTAGCCAACTTGGCAATGTAGTCGCCACCGAAAATATACAGAATGACATGTCCGACAGATGAGAGAGCGTAACGGATCTCGCTTTTTATCATCACGAGGGCCTCGTGGCTGACAGCGGAGAAGTTGCGCACCTCGCTAACTGAGATGAGCGGAATCTCAGACATGAAACTAGCGAGAACCCGCTCTAAGGCGCTGACGGCAACGTGTCTAGTATCAATTCTGAGGGTATGTATCAGTTGCTTTCCCTGTTCGATTCTCAGAAGTACAGTAAATGCCTCGACTAGGGTGAATATAATCGTCGAGGTATAACCGACAGCCAGCAGGACAACGTCTTGAACGAACTTGGACGCGCCGAAAACGATTCTGAGCAGACGAGTCGGATGCGCGACGACCCAGACAGATACGCGACCGACGTTATATGGAACGAAAATGCACATGAAGATAGAAATAGATACGAGAAAGGCGCAGAAGATAGCGTTTTGAAATAGGCCTGCGATCGGGCCGCGCATACCAATTAACTCCATGATTCCTTCGAAATCTTCGGCATCTTCGACGGCTTCCGGATCGAGACCAGCAGCAACGGCGGCTTCTACAACATCTGGGGCCATCTCAATCTCATCTTCGCCTTCTCCTTCAATCCCACGATCGTTTTCGAAGAATGGCGCATTCTGATTCACACCAAAAATATCCACAGCTTCTTCCGGTTCAATTTCATCTAAATGGCCAACGTCTACGTCGCCCCACATGAAATCGGCTACGCGATCGACAATGCTGCCGGCTTGTCTCGCCGCGACGACAGCGGGCTCGTTACCATGAACCGGTTCGACCAAGGTAGCGGAGTCCTCGGCGTGGCCATGTCCCGCGGGATCCTGTATATTGATTTCATCAACCATCGTGTCTTCCACAGTCGCTGGCGTGTTCAATCCTGCTTGGAGAGGTACAGGTGTTTGCTCAAAATGTTGTGATTGGTCAATAGCGGTACCATTGTCGACAGGTCTACCTCGTTGTGATAACCCGGTTCTATTGATATCGCTATCAACACCTGAAGATATTGGTGTAGAACGTAAGGCTGAATTGCCGTGGCCAGACACATTGTGATGAGAAGCATTCGACGGGCCGGAAGGTAGATCGGAAAATGACCAATTATTATTTGCAAGCCTATTGATAGGTTTGGGGGCCTGAGGGCCGTCAGAAACAGCTCTTGGTCTCGTTAAGAGCGGTACATCCGAAGACGACGCATTTTCACTATTGCTGTTACCATTAGGCAAATATGGAGTATTTTCGCCAAATTCACCTCCCCAAGACGCCCAGGAATCTGTCCAGGAATCGCTCCCATTTCTAGAGGTCTCAGTGGCCTTGCTTTTTCCTTTATCGTGGGAACTCTGGTTCGCCACGGCATCGCCGTCGTCGTTTTCCGCCCACGTCCAACTCGAGTTATCGCTGCTAGTCGCATCAGCTCTGGGCGAATCTGACCTCGTAGGGGACCGGCTTGAGCGCCGTTCCTGGTGAGTTAGAATTGAGCCTCCAATGCCATTTCCCAGATCGAGACTACTTCCGTCAGCAGCCCTGCCAGCAGTCGCCATTGATTGTGTTACGCGGATCCAGTATCGCATACGGTCTTCCAGTCCTTCCTCTCGAATGATTTGAAGGATTCTTTCCTGGTCTCCGCCGGCTTCTCTGTAGATCCGTAGATACTCCTTCACCGTACCCTGCGAACTGCCCTCGCCATCGAGATTGTCCGAGAGAGTCCGTTCGCCAAATCTTTGCTCGGACGGGCCAGCCTGGAACTTGCTGTTCTGCTCCGCGGGCCCTGCATTGCGCGCAATAGACTCGGCACGACCGCGGTCCTCTCCCTGACCTTCCTGTCTGCTATTGGTATCAAACAGTGGCGCTCGCCGCTGGAATTCGGCAATAGGTCTATGGCGAGGGTTCTGTATATCGACAATATCCTGCAGATGACCTGCTCGATTAGGACCCAAGTCATCGGTATAATTTTCAGCTGTCGGGCCATCCCGTTCTGCAGTAGAGTCGTCATCAGAGTCCATGTCCTCGTCGTCATCTGGGCCCAATTGCCGTGGTGCTGGATTGTTCACGGGTCCGGGTGGTAGAGGGGCTTCATTTTCCGCCGCGGCGAAAGCAGCGCGCATGTTTATTTCAGGTTGCTGCTGCACCACGTAATCTCGGACTAGGATAATCAGGATAAAACATACGATGACTAGCAAAGTTATGATCTGGCCCTCTAGAACAGCGATGATGGTCCGGTTGATGGCGGGGTGTCGCGTGAAGTTTTTGAGGACGGCAACTTCGCTCAATAAAGATGAGGGGCGATAAGCGGCAGGCGAGAGAGAAAACTGATCGATATGTGTCACGTTCAGGAAATCTTTAGTTCCGTAAATTGACTTGTCTGTGGTAGTAGACAAGCCCAATATCGTGGTGAGCCAAGTTGGAGGGCTTGTGTTCAAAGGTCTCGAGATGGCTCTCAGCAAATTAGACACGGGAATCTGGTCGATGATACCTCCAATACTCGCAGCGGTGGTCGTAGCGGGTAGTAAGGGTGTGGATGCGCACGTAGTCGTGCCCGTAACGGAAAGAGAAGACAGATCGCCTCGACCTATTGAAGTGGCATTCCGAGAATCGAGGATAGGCGGGCTAGGACCGAAACCCTCATCGCTGATCCAAAATAGAAAGGACCAGACGGAACGCATGAGATAGGGAAGCCAGCCTAACCAGACGCTAGTGACCAGGATGGCTCTCAACCAGACAAGCACGTTACGGAAGAGATATTTGGCCATATGGGTGGCGAAGATGTAGAGGGGTAGCCGCTTGGGCATATTCGGAGAATATAGCTTGGTGAAGCGGAATGGCGTCTTGCAAAGCTCGCAATGCTTCTTTTGCGAGTGTGAAAGCCATTCCATCAAGCAGTCCTGATGTACGTATTTGATACTGCCGCTGCATTTACAAGGATAAAAGAGAGGCTCGTCGGTGGTGCCCTCTCCTCGGCAAATCCGACAGGTATCAGGATCGATCGAATCGTTAACCGCAGGTTTAACTCCCGGCATAGTGTTTTCCGCCATGGCGTCAGGTTTCGTAACGGATTGCCTCCGTCGCTGGGCGGCGTTGGGGAATTCGGTAAGGTCGGGTAAGAAATCCGTCATCGTAGGCGACGAAATATCGGCTCGAAACCAAGACCAGTCGGTGATAGGTAAATTGCAACTCTCGCCCAGAGGGCTCTTTTCTTAAGTTTAGACCATGAGATTACGGTGTCGTCGCGCGTGGTATGGTAGGTCGACAGCGGTTGAAAAGAAAAATTGGATGCTACAAGGTGGTGATAATTGATGCAATCAAATCGCGTGCTAACGGATATGAGATATGCGATATAATACAAAGTATGCGATTACCTAAGGTGGAAGTTAGGACATTACGATGTTTCTAGAAAAAAGGGAATAAGCAGGCATATTGCCTTACCTAGGGACGTAAATGCGAAGTGATTTTTTGTATGTTTGCAAGTATGTTTCCGTACTTAATGGAGGCTAGATAGGTAGGTAGAGTAGGAGGTAACGAATGACGATGTACCTGAGAAAGTACGTCTAAAAGCCTACCTTAGGTACATATCTTACCTAAGTTCATATCGCAGTGGCAATTATTCGGCCAGACTTAGGTACCTACCTAAGGTGGTGGAAATATTAGAGGAGGACCTAAGGTTAGCTGACTCAATAGCACTAGTCGGAATAGAACAAAGCCGATAGAGGTACATAAGGTAGATTACCTAATCCGATGATAACAGGTATGTATATCTCACATATCTAAGTACTTAAAAGGTACATGAACGAGATCATATAAGAACCCAAGTCGTATAATAGATTGATAAAAATAAATTAAGAATGATACCTATTATGTACATTATAGAGGAAGTCTTCATTATTATATATAAGATAAAAGTTATGACGTGATACCTGAGACAGCAAGAAAAGTTCAGGTTATTAACTAATTCGACCGACTGATTCCGATAAAACTGTTTTCACTATGTAATACCACATTTATTCTATATTAATGATAACTTGTTTCCATCCCACGTGAAATATATGCAAGTCTATCAATTCCTGTCCTGTTCGGGTCATATCTAGCGTTCTAATAATCCGGGTTCGTTAAGCTGACTGGTAGACCTTACAGTATATAATAATTGTCATTGCTGGGTGTGCTTGGATAAATTCTTCGAAATGTTTGATAGGGGCTTAATCAACAGTCAGTTGACAGTCAGTTCTTTATCTATTAAACATAAAAAAACATTAATATAACTCTCAAGATCTATGCTGTAAGGCAAATCATATGTCTCTTTTACACTGCTTAGCTGCAGATGCCATAGTCAGATGACGTCTACGTCTACTTCGTACAGAATAACACTAAAAGACAAGTTGGCAAAGTCTAGTTCTTAAGATAGAGGGTTTGCCGTAAAGACAAGCGTCATAGGTGATAAGGCAGTGGAAGAGTAGCCTGCTTTCCGACATCTTACTTTCTTAAAGCCTTCAAAGACCCGATCAACCACCAGCATCTTTTTCCAACTGTCGTAGAATATTAGTTATCGCTCATACCATGTAGATTATATTTATTAACATATTTGTGTGTTGATGTAAGTACGGCCATCCAATTCTCCAATCTTCAATCCCCAATCCGACCCCTCGTGTTTATCTGTGAGGTTATGTACGAAGAGGTACCTGTTCTCACGTGAAATATGTACCTAACAAAACGTAGTATGCTATCGTTGTGCAGGTTGCATATTTCGTCATAGCTCCTGTGGGTTCATCAGCTCGGTGCGCACTACATAAAATAAATACATAGGTACATACCTAGGTATCATATGTATTATGTACATATCTAGGTACCTCCATATCATTCACTTGCTCACCGTCCTTGAATTCTTCTATTTCTTCTTCATACCTTCGTATATTGATATCATCTCAATATATCATCGAACTCGACCTTTACATTGTCCCCGTTTCTTTTCTTTTCTTCTTTTTTTGGTGAGGAAAGAAGAAAACAGGCAACAAAGACGGTATCGACTTCTCGAACCTGCACAAGCCCCTGCGTCATCTCTTTTGTTACAGCAGGTCAAAACGCCAGCCTTAGCTTCGCGGCCGTCACACGCCATCATCAAGGCTTCCAAAACTTCTGTATCCACTTTCTCCCGCTCTCTTCTACTCTGCTATCCCACAGAATCTTGAATATTTTTTTTCGCTCTCTTGTCCTAGTAGTCAACCCTCGAGTCGGTCATATACACCTATGTACACACCTTCGAATCTCAAGTCGCGGACTCGATGCTGACCTAGAAGTAAAGAGCAATCAATATATTCCCTAACCATCTATCCTATCTTAGTCGGTTTCATACGACTTATCATCGCGTCTCGGGGATATCCCATCCGCAACACTAATCTCCGTATAAAACTATCAACTTTACCTTGATGCGAATAATATTAGTTATTGATCGAGCTCACCGCTAGATGCCTTTACTATGGCCGGTGCAACAAACACTAGATCTAAGTCAAGCACGAATGGGTCTCTCAAGGGACCTAAGGGTGTCAAAGGTGTAAATGGGATCAATGGGATTAACGGTTTAAACGGACATACTAAAACTCCCAGGCGGAGAAACACCGAACAGAAGAAGCGGAGCTTCTTTGCGTGGAGCTTTAACATTATCGCGAGGTAGGATAAAGATTTTGCAGAATGCTTCCCTCGTTTAAGAACAGGATTTTAAGAATAGGATACTAATTCGCTTTTTATCATAGGCTATTAACGTGGTATTCTATCTTTACCCTCCTTTTCCGCTGTCCTTCTACTCTCGACGCCTGTGACGACACAACGCCCAAGATATGTAAACCCTACTTCCAGATCAAATCGGCCGTAACGCCGCATATCACACCCTATTACGATGCTTATGCTGCGCCTTACGTCCATGTTGCCAAGCCATACTACGATACAGTCGACCGCATTGTCATCACTCCTGCCCGCACGTATGCAGTCAAATATGGTGGCCCACGAGTTTCCCAGGCCCGAGCTTTTGGACAGGCCAAGTGGGAGAAGAGCGTGCAACCTAAGCTAAGCGAATATCAAGCTATAGCAAAGGCCCAATACGATCAAATAGTAGCGCCCCATGTTGAGAGTATATCTGCTGTAATATCTCCTTATTATGATATCGCGCGGGTCAATGCTCTACAGACCTACCACGAATTCGTACTCCCGGCCTACGTATTCATGCAGCCTTACGCCGCACAAGGCTACGATGCTGCCTATTCGTTTACGACTGACACTGCAGTTCCTTCGACTATCTGGGCCTGGAATAAGACTTACACTTTTCTGGACGCTACAATCTGGCCTCATCTACGAGATGTCTACGTCATGAAGGTTGAGCCGCAGCTCGTACGTATTGGCGAGCGACTAGGAAGGTACAATGAGAGAAAGGCCAAGCCGGTGACCGAGGAAGCCAGCTCGTAAGTTCTCACCACTTCATCTAGTGTTCCTTTCTCGTATAGTTCACTGACGGTTGAATAGTTCAACCTCACCCAAATCCACTTTTACAAAGCCGGTAGCTTCTTCCATCTCTTCATCCGCTGCCTCGGCCGTCAAAACCATTGTCGAACCTGGACACTCGAGCGAAGCAGAATCCTTTGAAGGCCGAGGAGCGCCAGAAGTCAAGACTGAGCAGAAGAAATCGCGCACGTCGGAGGAGACACGCGAGCTAGCCGCGAAGATCGCCGCCGAGGATCTCGAGTTGTGGGAAGGTAAGTTTACCACAGCTGCACAAGAGGGTGCCGCTGAAATTGAAGACCGCGTGGATGAGATCTCGGCCCGTATGATCGAAAGACATGCCAATGGTATGGGTAGGTCTCTAGTGAAGCAACTCGAGGAGACGGCCAGCACCGAGCTACAGAACCTCAAGAAATCCATTGTATCTATCTTGGAAAAACATGGCAATGACAATGAAAAGAGAGATGAAGCCCTCGCTGCTGCTGTCCGGGCTGCTGGTCTCAATATCAAGAACAAAGCCCAGGATATTCGTACCTGGCGTCAGACATACGATCAAGAGACAGAAATCGCGGTTACCAAGGCAGCTCAAGAGCACTACAGCATCCTTCAGAAAACTCGCGATCTTGCACTTCAGAAGATCGGCATGAAATGGGCATGGATGGACGGCATCACCTACAAGGATTGGAAGAAGTATCACGAGCTGAAGGCACGTTTCGACGAGTGGACGGATGACTTCAAGCGCTTGATTACAACGCACCCTGGCCTTATATTAGCGCAATCAACCGGGGCCGAAATCGAGGACGAAGGTATGAGCATTGCGCAAGCTGCTGCTGAGGAATTGAGTCGATTAAAGCAGGTTGCTACGTGGAAGGCCATAGCTGGCGATGCTAGCGATAACTTTGATAGCGAAACAGCCGAGTTGGCAGCAATCTCTGTTGCCCAAAAGGCTGAGCGAAGTGCAACGTCAGCAGTTCCTTTCGCTGGTGAGAAGATCGAGAACGAACAAGCGAACCCTAACAGCGCCGAGACCGTCATAATATCACTTTCCCAAACAGATGCGGAAGACCCTGATACTTCTTCCTTTGCTCCAACGGAGAGACTCGCGTCCGAACAAACTGGGAGCGCCACTGATTCTGTCGAGCCGCTACCGTCAACTGATCCAATTGATGGACCAGAGCAAGTTCAAGAAACGATCGTCGAATTACCCGATGAACCAATCGCGCCCGTTGAGCCAGCTACCACTACTACTATTAAACCTGCCCTCTTCGGCGCCGCAGCTCAGTCCGTACCTTCGCGACAACCTATTCTAGACGATGACATTGTTTCGTCCGCGTCTAGCGCTGCGTCTGTTGTTCGCTCAGATATCCCCGCTAGTATCACATCAGCCGCGCAATCAGCATATACTGCTGCTGTCGCGGGAGCTGCGGATCATTATTCACGTGCTATGTCGGCCGTATCCGCGCAGATCCATGGAGAGCCAAAGCCTATCCACCAAGCGATGTTCAGTTCGGTTTTGAGCGCATATCTGGGCGCAATTGCCACGGCTAACTCGAGGCTCGACATTGCGATGACAGCCGCATCAGAAGGCATATATGGCACTCCCACCAGACAATGGATTCCTGGCATGCCAACCGCGCCATCCGTCGATTGGGAAAGATTCCAGTCCATCGCACAACATAATTTCGACGACTCGTTGAAATGGGCTTCGGAGCAATATGAATCTGCAAAGGTAGCCATCGGTGCTTCTGAACCAACACCCAGCACGTACCTCGAGGAGGCAGAGCGGAAAGCTGAGAAACTTCTCGACCAGGCTAAGCACAATTATTATGCAGGCATAGGTCTGGCACACGCACGTTATTCCGAATTCCTTTCTGCTGCGTCTACAGCCGTGAGCTCTTTAACGGCTACGCCTACCCCAACCAACATTCAGGAGTCTGCCTCGTCCGTCGCATCAGTAGCCGGTGAATCGGTTGCTTCTGCAGCCTCAGTTGCTAGCGATAACGCCGAGTCCATAGCGTCGTCTGTCGGCGACTTAGCTTCCGATGCAAGCGACTATATAGGGGAGAACTGGGATGCGCTTGTCAGTCGTGTCAGCTCCCAGGTCTACAGCGCTCCTACACCTACTCCATGGTATGAAAACCTACAAGT